GGCATCTCCCCATGAAAGTCAAATCGTGCCACTAATAGACACAACAAGGAAAGTATTGGCTCAGAGGTGTCAATGTTCTTGATCAGCTTAGTTCCAGCCATTCAGCATCTTTCAAAACAAAGGAGCACACAGAAGGCTACTAACAAGCTTTTGATCGAAAAATACCATTTTAAAGTGTTATGGACTGAAGTCGTAAAACATACTTACACAACCAAGCTACTTATTAGGTAATTACAAGTAAATCTCTTGACAAGTATTAATTGGTAAACTGATTAAAATGGTAACTGACCTGCGCAGGTTAAAATTCATTAAACCATTATACAAACAGTATATATAACTTAAACCTATTCCTAAATCCTACCAATACCATATTCTACCACTCAGTTAAGCCTGGTCTATTTGTCTAGTTCATTTCCCATCCTGAATTATATCAAACCTTACTTGGTAGGATGCAAGTATCAGTTTTGTTTACAAATGTAAAACAGGTAAATTACTTGTGAGAAATTTTTTTCCACAGTTCTACTTACATTACATAGACATTCTTTTATTTGGAAAAGAAAAAAAGTAACAACAAAAAATCTCTCTATATACACAAGTATATAAAATGCAGATGTCTTAGTGTAAGTCTCCCCTTGTTCGATGTCCATTAGTTGCTTTTTTGTTAGTTTTCTGAAGTTCCCCTTTTTTCTTATTGACATGTGACAACATTTAGAGCCTCGGCGAATGGTAAAAGCTGCTGCAGTGTATCACGAGGTCACAGTTTCACGCTACGAGCTGAAACAGTATCTTGTAAAAATGCAAGATACGACCCAATCTGGTCGCCCCAACTTGCACATAATGCAAGGTAAGTACTCCAGGTTTCCCTTAACAGTAATTTCAAAAAAGTAAAATCAAACATATTCATTTTAGTTACTCAAATGACCAATTTAACACTACACAGACATCAACTCTGCCCCCATAGCTAGTTCTAAAATATGATACCATACCAGGCATTCCCAATTCGAGGCAACTAGAGATAATCTCCACAGAACGGGATTTTGGACCCAGCGTGCCGACAATCTTCATCATTGCTGGAAAAAACGTCTGCAAAATCATCATTTAACAGATCAACAACATAACCATCCTATAGATCCTCAGCTAAAAAAAAACACATAACAAAGCAGTTCGGTAAAAGGAATACCGGAAGTGAAAAGGCCACGATAAAATACTAAAAATAGCATGACATGGAAAAAAACAATATCTACAACAAAATAATACTTTAATCGAAGTACATAAAACAACATGTAATAACAGAAATCGAAGAATAAAAAACTACAAGAGTAATGCTACAATTACTAGTAAATTTAACACATCATAAACCAACACTTCAAGCTCATAGCATCTGCAAGCACATAACGAAAACAATTCTCCCAAAAAAACACAAATTCCTCAACCTAAATTGACCAGAATTATGAATCTACAGAGAATCAAACAAAGTCAAATTCAAGTAGTAGAATTTTACTCACAGGCTTTGATGGATCGAGAATCGAAGCCATCCGAATCGGTTCTTCGAGGAGCAAGTTCACCGAGTGCATTTTTCCGGTTGCCGATCGTCACTGCAACTGCGGTGAGTGAGCTCAGTTCAGAGAGAAATAGTAGAATAATGGAGATAGCAAAACTGCTAAAAATAGTAGAATACTGTAGCATAAATGCATTTGGTGAGTGAGGCCGGGAAATAGATTATATTTTAAATAACTTTTTGATTTCTCAAAAGCCGTTTCTTTATCCTTTTCTTCCTTATTTGTCCGAATATATGTGGCAAAAATTGTGGATGATACTATCTTATTCACTGCAGCTGATAAGAGATCTATGAAACTTATGATTAAAGTGCTGAAAACATATGAAGCTGCCTCTGGCCAACTGATAAATCTAGAGAAGAGTGCTTTTTATGTCCTTGAAAAAGTAGCTCCAAGGGTGATTTCTAATATAAAAAAGGTGACTCAGATTATGAAAGGATTTTTCCCTTTTACCTATTATGATAATATCATACAGAAAGTAGGTTGCAGAATTCAATCTTGGCAAGGGAAAATGCTCTCTTATGGAGGAAGAGCTGTATTGATCAGTCATGTGCTTCAAACTATGCCTATTCATTTGTTATCTGGCCTAAACCCTCCATTGGAGTAATAAGGCATTTGCACAAAATGTTTGCTAGTTTCTTTTGGAAAAACACAGAAAATAAAAAAGCCAAGCATTGGGTGAATTGGGAGACTTTGTGTTTACCAAAAGCTGAAGGAGGATTGGGTTTCGGATCATTATTTGATGTCTCTAATGCCCTTGTTCTGTAAACTGTGGTGGAATTTGAGGAGGAAACCATCTATGTGGGGATCTTTTATGGTCAACAAGTATTGTAAGAAACTACATCCTGTGATAGCAAAAGGCAAAGGTGCATCTACAATTTGGAAGAAAATGATCATAGTAAGGGAGTTGATTGAACATCAAATCTAGTGGAAAATGGGAATGGGTAACTCTAGCTTCAGGTTTGATAATTGGACTGGTCTAGGAGCTTTATATCATATTCTACCAGAAGCAGAGGAGGAGGAAATAGAGGTAAGTAACTGCGTTAATACGGAAGGCTGGAGTACTCAGGATCTGAGGGACAATATTCCAGAGGAGTATATTCAGCATGTTCTTAGGAATATATCTCCTCCTAACAACTATAATGACATTGATCAGGCAAAGTGGATGTTAGAAACAAATGGGAAATTCTCTGTGAAGAGCTCTTGGGACTATATAAGGCAGTAAGACGAGAAGGAAGAGATCTTCAAATTCATGTGGAGTAAAAAGGTGTCATTCAAGATGTCTTTCTTTCTATGGAGGGCCTGGAAATACAGAATTCATATTGATGAAGTCTTGCAGTCTATTGGAATCCAACTAGTGTCACAGTGTTGGTGTTGCCTAATCCACATCAGGACACCATGTCTTACCTTTTTCTAACCTCTTCCATAGTTGAAAAGCTATGGAGGCTGTTTGCTAATTTTGCAGGGATTCATCTCGATGGACTCCAACTTTCACAGGTGATCCCAAATTGGTGGACTACCCCAATCTGTCCAAAGCTGAAGCCAATTTTGATTGCAATTCCAACCATAATTATATGGCATCTTTGGAAGAGGAGAAATTTCATAAAAAAATGAGTACAACATCAGAATATCTTGGGCTATATTTATACTACAAGAGGAGAACACAACAATTTGCACAGAAAAAGAGGAAGTTGAGGAAACAAATATCAGTCGGAGCTCATTGTCTCACTTTCTTAGATCAAGGGGAATAGTCATGGATATGAAATAACAATCAGAGATGAATGCAAAACATGCCATCAGTTCTGCCACAGATCTATTTTTCATAACAAATCAGCAATTAAAGATGATTTTGCTTTTCTACAATGATGAGAAAGAAAAATACCTAGAAAATGCATGGAGATCTGGAGCTTCAAAGTCACGATGACAGCTGAAAAAGAGGGAAACGATCACTGGTGCAACATACAAATTGATAAAATGGAGAAATAGGGAAGCAAGGAAACAGAAGAATGGCGTACTACATACCTCAAAGAAGAGGCAGTTCTCAAAGCAACAAAATCATGAACACTGGTGAGAGCTAACAAAGCTACGGAAATGCATGAAACCAACATATCAAGAGCAAAGACGAAGAAATAGCATTTCAAAAAGAACTGGTAAGTGGTTACCTGGAGAAGAACATCAACTCTGACTAATTCACAACGCCTAAGCCATGACTCAAGAAATGCATGGAGAAATGGCTGGATCAGTGAAGATGAGCAAGAGAACAGCAACATCATAGATGGATGGTCCTTTGAGCTTGGACAACAAAAGTCTGAGGAAGATTCATGTCCTCACGCTCAAATTATTATTTTTATTTTTTTGTTTTTTGTTTACTTTCCTTTTTAGTAGATTTTTTAGCTTTAGGACCTGTTTCCATTTGGATGGGTTCACTGTCTGGACCTCTTTGGGCTTTTCTCATAAATAAAAAAGGCCACCTGGCCATATTTGACCAAAAAAAATCCATGAATTATCTCATGACAGCACAAATGGTAGGATAACAGAGAACACTTATACATCTTCTGATAACTAAAGACAAAAGTCTTCACTGTTCAAAATCAACAATGGACATTGATCCCCCTAAAAAGTTCAACACCATTAACACCTAGAAAGAGCTAATATGAAAGTTTCATCATCGGTATACAAAACCAGAATTTAATTGAAAGCAGTAAAACATAAAAGCTACTGAACAAGAGTGTAATTAGCAATGGACTTCAGCAATTACTCAGATTCCTTCACTGGTGAGCAGCCCAACCAGACATTGCCATAAGGATCAATCAGCTTCGCCCCAAGACGACCACCATCAGCACCACCGTCTTCTGCTTTAATTTCAGCAATTGCACCAGCAGAGAAAACTTACACTTCTTTAGATAACTACAGAAAAAGTCTTCACTGTTCAAAATCAACGATGGACATCGATCCCCAAAAAAGTTCAACACCATTAACACCTAGCAAGAGCTGATATGAAAGTTTCAACATCGGTATACAAAACCGGAATTTAATTGAAAGCAGTAAAACAAAAAAGCAACTGAACAAGAGAGTGTAATTAGCAATGGACTTCAGCAATTACTCAGATTCCTTCACTGGTGAGCAGCCCAACCAGACATTGCCATAAGGATCAATCAGCTTTGCCCCAACTCAACCACCATCAGCACTACCGTCTTCTGCTTTAATTTCAGCAATTGCACCAGCAGAGAAAACTTACACTTCTTTAGATAACTACAGAAAAAGTCTTCACTGTTCAAAATCAACGATGGACATCGATCCCCAAAAAAGTTCAACACCATTAACACCTAGCAAGAGCTGATATGAAAGTTTCAACATCGGTATACAAAACCGGAATTTAATTGAAAGCAGTAAAACAAAAAAGCAACTGAACAAGAGAGTGTAATTAGCAATGGACTTCAGCAATTACTCAGATTCCTTCACTGGTGAGCAGACCAACCAGACATTGCCATAAGGATCAATCAGCTTCGCCCCAAGACGACCACCATCAGCACCACCGTCTTCTGCTTTAATTTCAGCAATTGCACCAGCAGCGATAGCCTTGGCCGTAGCAGAATTAACATCCACAGTCTCCAAGTAGAAAACATATCCAGTCAAAGAAGTCTTCACAGGAGCAGTAGAGTCCTCATCAGTAAGGTCAGAGACAACGAAGATAGATGAACCAATCTTGAGTTCAACAGAGAGGATGAGTGGTGTCTCCTGCTCGGCCTTCCTCTTAGGGTGGTTCACACGTCCCACCTCCTCAGCACCGAAAGCATGTTTGTAGAACTGCACTGTGTCTTTAGCCTTTGGCGCTTTCACAAACAGCTGCGGCTTCACCGCCATGAAGACGACGGCATTCTGAGTTGCTTCCTTCTCAGCTCCTGCTCCATTATGTGCCTCTTCAGCCATTGTTTCACTGCAAAATTCTAAGAGAGACAAAACAAAAATGAAAATGGAGAAGAAGAACAAAGAGAAAAAGTGAAAATGTCAAATGAGTTTTGTATCAATATGTATCAGATAATGCTTATACTTTTATGCATTCTTGTAATCAAGAATCTCAAAGCATTTTTCAATGACTGCCTAGTTCATCCATCTACAATGTGGTGGTATGGTGCGATGTGTATACCTGTGTGTAAGAATCCAGAATCAAAACTAGATAAGCAAGGACCACCTTCCTGAAATTTCAATTAAAATAAGCAAATTCAAGAACAGACCCACACATTCAAGGATTTCATCAGTATTGACAAAAAAAAGATAATGAATATAGCATGTAAGTCAAGAGTTGAACTTTCATACCATGATTGGGGCCAAAACCGGCATATCAATATCCAAATGAGGAGCAAGTTCAACTGAGCTGATACCCGTGACTGGACAGAATTGTGGAACCCTGTCTCCCAAAGATACCTGATATCTAACCTCTGATGCAACATCAACAGTAGCAGGGACATTTTGTGTGGCATTATAATTAAACATGTATGCCTGCAATCAATCAACTTAAGGTTCAAAAAATCCAGCAATACATTTACTTAATCCGTAAATTCAACTGTTCAACTCGGTAACTTACTAATTCTCCAGGTAATGGCATCATAGGGTTTGTACACCCTAAAGCAGCAACACCTGTAAAACAAATGTTTATCATTGACACGTATATAACACGGTTAATGCAATCTAAGTTACCAAATTCACTTAAGAGAGGACATGAAAATGACTTACGGCAATATGTGAAGTAAGCAACGCAACATATGCCAGCGCCATTGATTATTACACAGGTGATGGCAGCCCAGATGAAGAGCCTATTATACCTTTCAAACCTACACAAATAGTTTTTAGGATCCATTATCATGCTACAACGTGTAATCACTGTATCACATCGGACTTCAGCATGTAGACGATCATTATTAACCATTCCCTCTTGATTATTCTTTCTTGCCTCCTCTGATTTTTTAATCACATCGGCTTCTTCGGCCAACTCTTTTCCTTCTAGATCCAAATTCTCAATAGCAGGAATCATTCTTTTCAATTCTTCTCTTGCTGCCCAAATAGCAATGGCCAATCCTCCGAATAAGCTGAGGAGGGATACGAACGTGATCCATCCAGCAACTGCGCATGATAGATGAATGTGCTCATAGAATATCCATGCTCCTGAATTAGAGAGGATAAATCCAACTTTGCTCCCTAAGGACTCTATGACCTTATTTGCATCTTGTTCAAAATAAGCCATTTTCGAATCCACCTTCTTCATTTTCTTTTCAATGACTTTTAGGATGACAACGTTATCATCCAAAGCTAGAGGAGATACTGAAGCAGAAGAGACAGTAGTTGTTAAATGCCAATATTTTTTTTCAATTCTTTTCTAAAACACACTTCAAGAAGTCAAATCAATAGGAAAAAAGGAAGGAAATCTAAAGTACGAATTGTTACCTTCCGGATCTTGAGCTGCATTTTCCACAATTTGAGCTAGAATTTTAAAGGAAAAAGCATACTCAGTTTTTTCTCTGTTTAAGCATTACCCACAAATCAACATATCCAAAATACATAGATGCACGTATTTAATGATATCAAATGTTACTTGGCTAAACACTAGACTCGAACAACATTTTCAGAAAACATGAATCCAAACTTAATGATAAATCGTTTTGGCCTTCATCCTAAAGCCTATATAAAGTTTTCAAGTCCTAAATTACCCACTTAAACATCCATTCCCCTATTTCCCAAAAACCTAACCAAATTCACTCCCCAATTTCTCTCTCAACCTAAGGAAGAATAAGAAGCTAGGGTTCATTCAAGGACATCAATTCACCATTCATCTTAGGCTTTGAGTATCAAGGTATGTGGGTATTCACCCATGGAATCCATTCCTCCATATGGTCCCTAAAGTTACCAATTTCTCAATTTCAAATTCAATGGATCAAATCAGGGTTCTTTTAGTTCTTTATGGGTTTTCTACCTATTATGACTTTTATTGTGGATTATGTCTTCTAATGCATGATTCAATGTTAACTCTGTGCTCCCGTAGGATTGTCTTACATCCTACCTATATTTAGTTTAAGAATACAAAGATTCAAAGGTCATGTTGAATACACTAAGATTAAAGGACATTTTGGTACATTCTACCTATCTTTAACTTAAGAATACAAGATTCAAAGGTCTTCTTTACTTTAATAAACTATGTGTCAAGTCAAAACCAAACAAACAAATGGAAATGGGCAGCAGGGGGGGGGGGGGGTTATGTTAAGTTTTATACAAGGTACAAAGACAATGTAATATGGTGTGCATCAGCTTGAAAGGGTCTATGAAATATTACCTTCTAAGTCAGGATCCAAAAGTGGAACATGAGGGTCAACTGGAATCAAAAGGAAAAAACAAACAAACTCAGGTTATATAGATGCAACTTCTCGTTTTTTTTTTTTTATGAAGTAAGTTGTTTCATTACCGGCATCAAGAAGATGCAAAGAGTACAAAAGTAGATATGCTAGCTCCATTACATGATAGCAGTCAAGACACGGGAGCTAGCCACAAATTAAAAAAATCTAGAGGAGACTTAAACACGACTATGTCTGGTCCAGAGTTAAAGAGCTAACAAAGTCTAAGAAAGCAGTAGAACTATTCACATAAGAGTGGTTGGACCAACAAAATAGACTGAACAAACATTTAGCTTTGAGTGAATAGTTAGGAGTTGAAATTCCATCAGAACACCGACGATTCCTTTCTGTTCATAGGCACCAAAAAATACATGCTGGAATCATTCTCCAGGTGTTCCTGATGGCCCTATCAACTCTCCAGGGGCCCCAACTCACAACAACTTCTCTGATAGTTTGAGGCATCACCCAGTTCAAACTGAAAAGGGAAAGGAACATAACAACTTCTCGCTTTTCTCTCTTTAATACATATGCAACTTCTGGTTTTCTCTCTACAAAAAAATTGAATGTTGAATGCAATTTTATAACTTACACCCAACTTATGCAAAAACGAAGAGTTGTGCAAACAACCAACAGTTACATCCACATATCCAAACGTATTTCTTCTCCTGTGTGTTAATCGCCCTTCTTCTACTGTGTGTAATTCGTTTTCCCTTTATGCACAGATTTTCCCGGTTAACAGTGTTTTATTCTCCCGCAAAACACAAACAACCATTGGAATAAGGTTCTGTTACATTGCTCGCCACCATAACTGAGTTGTAAGTTTCTACCTAATTATGTTTTGCTCCTTTTCATCTACAATGTATATCTGTTCACTCATCTTTACCGCCAATTAAGATACACACTCCATCATCGCTACAATACTATATAATTTAACAACCGAACTGATGAAAAACTTATGTCACGACATCTTCCACACCTCTTCTCTGTTTTACTTAGTACGTTTTCAGCTTTGCCCTTCTTCCATTAATATTGATACATGGCCCATTAAAATGTTCCACTTTAACAAAAAATTGGACAAGATGATTACCATGACCAGTAAAGAACATGCAGAGAAATTGCCAAATGGCACTATATTCAGTAACTCTTAACACGGATATCAGTGTATTATGAAGAGTCCCACTGCAAAAACATCGCTGCTCCCCTGTTTTGACTTGCATCCCCTGTGAAACACTGCACTCCCTCATATCTCCTAGCGTCCCTATTCAAACGTTGCCACCGATACATTACAGCCTCTTCAAAAAATAAATTTTCAGATGGAAATTCCCAAACTTATCTTCTCCGGAAACGTCTAGGTTTGAATTAATTCTTAACGTTCCTTCACAAGACTACCATCTTCAAATTTAACAGTTACACACACTTGCGATTTAACGACGGATTTTCATTCTCACCTATTTCGGTTTATGTAAGTGGTTCGTTACGCCACATCTTTTACGATCATATGTTCTACTTCCTTACTCGTGTCCACCAGTTCTACATTCACAATTTTCTGCGATATCAACCTCCGGCAAAATCAAATCATAACCTCGATTTCTCTTGCTTTATGAACTTCATCCCTATAATGTTAGCCTCTGACTCCTCTCACTCAATCAATTTAATTAATTTCTTCATATCCCTATTCAGACATTCGATAAAGTTATAGTTATTGTTCCATGTTTAGGCTTATATGATCCCTCTCTGGCACTGCCATACATGGAAAATATATCAATTTACTTTCTTAAACTTTAACTGTTACATTTATCATGATTTAGTAGGTCATTAACGTGTGAGTTCTGCTTGACATGGAAAACTAAACCAAAGAAACAAATCTTTCTATTTGTCTGTGGTGAAGAAACGAGAGTCATTGATTCTTAGTTTTGTGCGCGCTTACTTTTTTTTTTTTTTTTTGAAACGGGTAACTTGTATTCCTCAGCATTAAGGGCTATGCTGGCCACCTCCAAAAGGTATTAACAAATAAGAGAGAGAAAAAAGAAGAAAAAAGAAACAGAAATACTTACAAAGAACCTACGAAATCAACTAATTGGATCTTAAAGAAATACTCGCCAAATCATGAATAGAAAGAAGAAGGTCATCATTGTTTGTTGTGCATAGGACTGGGCAAAACCACATCCTATCTCATAAACATGGCCTACAAAATAATAATCCTTATGGTTGCGAAATATCTATAGAACATTATTACTATTTCCTGCCCATGGATAAACGGACCTAAGTGTTACGAAGGTGCGCACATACTCTTAAGGGAGTAAAACACAAAAAAAAAAAAAATGAATTGGAGCTAAAGGATATATAATACAGAGAAGAAGAACCCAATTGAAGACCACGGACAAACGAACCTAAATGTTAAGAAGGTACGCACATACTCTTAAGAGAGTAAAACACAAAAAAATAATGAATTGGAGCAAAAGAATATATAATACACAGAAGAAGAACCCAATTGAAGATGTAATATGAACTCAGAACATATAGTTATGAATGAGCTCTCAGGGGTGCTATTACT